GGAGACTAAGATACTATCAGTCTCAAAAAACATGATAAAATTATCTGAATGAGGTGCTTATATACAGTATCAGGATAGAGGGTGCATTGATGTAGGTGGAGATTATCATGAGACAAATATTGTCAAGGGCAATTGAGTGGGGTATAAAAGACTGGAGCAAGCGAGAAAAATCAGACGAATGCTTAGATGGGCAAAGAAGAAACCCAGGTGGTCAAGTAATAGCTATAAGTGTCACTTGGCTTAACAAATTGTTAGATGGTATCAATGCTATACTGCTAAAATCTTGACTATGACTATAATTGTGTACATCTATTCTGTAATGCTCCTTATAAATTCTGCTTTCTATATAATCTAAGGGAGGTATAACTGCATATTTGCACACAATTTTTCTTCCTATCAAATGACATACTTGTAAGAAATCATCATTTAATGTTTCAATTAGATGCTGTCTGTCAGGTAGTAATGTCCATATTCTAGGATTTTTTTAATTAGGTTTTTGGCATTATGAAGGAGTTAACTGCATCTCCCAAGTTCTTGGCTGGTTTTATGAATGTGTTTTTAATATTCAGGGATTGGATCTTTGTCGAGGGTCTTATAAAAGTTGGGGTTCAGTTTTAGGGCTTTTTGTATGTAAAGATCTCATTGCCACATGACCACAGTTGCACCCTTGCTAACTGGTTTAATTACTGTGTCCATGCGAGTATTGAGTGAAGATAAAGAGTTTATTTCTTCCTCATCCATGTTGGGTCGTGGAGTTTTTTCTTTAGATATAGTGCATGTATTTCAGTTTGACAAACATGAATGAAAGTATTAAGAATTTGTAGTTCTCTTTCTGGTGGTGTCCATTCTTGTTGTCTTGGCAATACTGTTAATGATACCACACCTGACTCTAAACATAACTTTTTATATCACTGGAGTGACTTAAAAAAGTTGTGTATAGAGTCAGGTGTGGTATCGTCAACAGTATTGGTGTTTGTAGAGAGGTAGCAGTTTGATTGGTTGCTTCACTTCTGGGGTAGGTGGGTATTATATCAACAGTAGTTTTAGTAGAAAACATGTGATTTCATGCAGCAGCAACTGAAAAAATTTTCTATATGAGCTTTGAGAGTTTAAGTATGAGAAGGTGCAAAATTTTGAATTTAGAAAGCATGCTTCATACAGTATCAGAAAGGGGAAGATTATCAGGAATAATTAAAACACATTTAGTTAGGTATTTTTGTTATGATAAGTTTATGCAGTTGGGTAAGTCTTTGGTTGTTCAAAATTTCATAGTAAACACTGTTGTGCTGATGGATGTGTTGTCGAATTCTGGTAGCCACTTAAATTGTACAAATCAGGTATAGATTTGTTGTCTTGTACTTTACAAAAGATTTTGTTGGTAGCTGTCATCAGAAATAGAGAAGATCTGTGTAATTTAGTAATAATGAGGTTCTTAAAGTTTGATTGTGAATTTGAGGAGATAAAAAGTGGACGTTAAAGCCAGAGGGAATCACCTGGTGTTAAATATACACGACTTTTTTAGTTTAGATTTAATAAGAGAGTTATGATGTAGATAGTATATATAGAGCAAGTGTTAAATTTGGTTATTTCTAGAAGCGATAGTTTATTACAAGTTTGTTTACATAACTGTGTAAGAATCATGCGTTGTGAAGTTCAATAGTTATGAATTGGTGGTTATTATACTAATAGAATTTTCTGAGTTTTTCTCTTTATTTTAATTGAGTATTATTGCATCATAATATCTAGTTGTGTTTGGAACATTGTAGACTTCTAATT